TTTTTTTATATTAGAATAGTAGTAAGCAGCATATACTGTTGGCTTGTTTCCCATTTGAGAGATATTTAGAAGTATAGATATTTTTGGTCCTATGTGACAACTCTGGTCCTGATGGACCCAGAATTTTCACTTGGTGCGTGACCAACTCTAAGCATAAGACTTTACATATTCAAGAGTGCTGCATGGTTTCTGAATGTTCTAGGAATAATTCTCCTGGTATCTGCAATTTAAACAAGAAAGGGGAGAAGAGGTAAGGCAATCAAGAAATAATCCATCTCCCAACTGAATTGGTCTCATGTTTAAAGCACATGGGAATAGTCTTTTTAATGGTAAATCACAAGTTCAAAAGTTTAAGTAAATAGTTCATTTACTCAAATGTTTGGTTTGCTTAAAAAATCAATTCTGTCCTAGCAAACCTTATCACAGACCACACATGCCAGAAACACTTATTCCCCAAGTCCTGTTACCACTAACCCAGACTTTGATTAGAGTAAGGGGATATTCTTTAATTTTACTTTCTAAAATAAAACAGCCTGCATTTATCTCTTGCCAAGTTTATCAAATCCTCCAAGGCCTCTGCTAAGGCCATTAAAAGCTTCTGCCATTTCTATGCATAGAGGAAGATAAATTGCTAGAGATGTGGCAGAATAAACCCTGAAACTATTCCTCTGAGGTAATCTTTAAATAAAAGATATCTCTGTAGTCTTCTTTAAAATTAAAACACCTGTTTAGCTTAACTAATAAAAAATATCTACTTTGATCTTAATGGTCTTCCAAAATTTATATATACAGAATCAAATTGACAACAGTTTTAAAGATTAGGTTTGAAAGTACAGTTTCAAGCAATGAGTTTATACTGAGCAGTAAAAAACAACTTGGAAAAGGGGAATAAGAATGGTTGCATCACTCCAAGAATTTAATCTGTCAGTCATACCTGTAGAAGATAATGAGTTAGTATGTGTTGTTGTATTTATTTTCAAAAACAACAAAAAGAATTCTTTTAAAAATCACCTTTATTCACAATAGCAAGGAGTTGGAAACAATCTAAGTACCCATCAATAAACGAATGGATAGAGAAGCTGTGGTATTTTCACACAATGGAATACTATGCCCCTTTGAAAAACAAGGAACTCTTGCAATATTATTCAAAATGGGTGACCCTGGAAGACATTATGCTGACTAAAAAATCTTAGTCACAAAGAGACAAATATTATATGGTGCCATTGTTATAGAATGAGACTGACATTGGGGTGGGGGTAAGACTGAGAAAAACTGGATAAATTATGTTTACTGTATTAAAAAAAAAGAATAGTTGCCTAATATATATATATATTTAAAAAATTGCTGCAATTTAAATTGCATATGAGTAATTAATGTTCTGTTCCACAATCAGCCTCAATGCTTGTTTAGACAGCTTATAATGAGTTCTGTATTGTCTCTTTCTATAGATAAAACCAATTTGAATTCCTTTAGGTATGATCCATGTATATAATTGTCATTTATGTTATTCTGGTTTTCTGTAAAAAGGTATGAGCAGTGAATAAATTATTGATTGAAAGAAAAAAATCATCTTAATTATTTCAGTAAAAATCATGTTTTGGAAAGGTCTGAACTTAATAGTCAGTCTTAACTCTACAACAGAAACTATATGATAAGTAGGCCATTTAGTTATCGTCTCTGACCCCCAATATTCTTATCATCCCTATTTTTCATGTTATTTCAGAAGAAAAATGAGCAGTCTTTCTAGGCTACTTACAGTCCTGGAAACCCAGTGGAGGGTCAACTGTGACTTGATTCTGACTTAATGGCATTAAGTTTTATGTGAAAAATAGGGATGATAATGACTACCTTGCAGAGCTGTATAAGGATTGTTGATAGGAGTTGTTAAGTTGGTTCCAACTCTTGTAGAATAAAGCACTGCTTGGTCCTGTGCTGTCACAATTATTGCTATGTTTGAGTTCATTGTTGAAGCCTCTGTGTCAAGCTTATTGAAGATCTTCTTGTTTATAAAATCCTTCTCCACAGACTAGTCCCTCCTAATAACATTGAATTAGAGATGATTATATAAAGGGCCTAAAAAAAATCCCTTAACATACAGTATGAAATAGATATAAGCCATTATCACAGAAAATTTTCTTTGGCTTTGATTGTTTTTTGGTTTTTTTTTTCATCTTTAATTCCTGTTTGAGCCCTACCTAAATTATTGACCACCATTAATTTATTATGTTAACTTCTTTGTTTTGTTTTTTCTTGCAGGCAACAATTGGCATTGACTTTTTATCAAAAACAATGTACTTGGAAGACCGAACAGTGAGTAATATTTTTAGCGTGCAATTTTTGCAACACCTAGAGTAGAAAATTGATCAAAGCTCTAATCAGTGACTGTCACTCTAAGAAGTACTTACCAAAATTGTCAAAGTAAGTTTACAGTTCTCTTAGAAAACTTTTACCGCAAAATTAACAGCAGTTGGTACTTTGACTTATCTCCAGGTTACCAAAATTGTCAAAGTAAGTTTACAGTTCTCTTAGAAAACTTTTACCGCAAAACTAACAGCAGTTGGTACTTTGACTTATCTCCAGGTTAAATCCAAAGGAAAGAGAAAACCATGTTATTCACAAAATCCTCATGACACTAGATCTCTTACACAGGTTTTGTCATCATGATTTCCTTCTCCTTACTGCTTCCTCAGTTCTGACTTAAGCAATCTTCAATGGGTTTCTGAAACAGTAAAACTTAATAGGAGACTGCCTGTTTTTCTCTTGCAGAACTAACTGCTGGTGTATTTGAACAGTCAGAAACGCGTGGCCTTTTTGTTAAAAAGGCAACATGCTACAGACTATACCACAATGCTCCTTTTCTTGATTTAGAAAAGTGATAATACATAGGGTTACAAGAATTCCCTTGAAGAAATGAGAGCTACCAGTATCTTCTTAATGTTTTTTTTTTTTTTAGGAAGATTATGTGCATATTGCATAGTTTGTGAACTGTAAGGTTTTCTTTGCCACAATTCAATGTGTATAGACTTTGAATAGAATAAAATAACATGTATTTATTTGTTGGATTTTATTTTCCCTTCCATCTTTTGGAATGTTTTTTAATTTTTTTTATTTTGGGGTGTGTGTGTGTGTGTGTGTGTGTGTGTGTGTGTGTGTGTCTCTGTGTGTACCGTCAAATCAGATCTGACTGGTACAGGAGGAGATTGTTCCTCCTTCTCCAGCAGAGCATCTGGTGGATTTGAACCAGTGGCTATTTTATTGTATGCTTTAATATATGTCATGCCTTTTAAAAAATAAAAGCTTGGAAACATAAGAGGACGTGATACTTGTTTTCAAGCTGTTATTCTCTTATTAAAGATTTTTTTTTGAGGGTTTTTTTTTTTTTAATATACTGGTTTATTTACAAAGTTCGTATACATTGTTTTTCACGTATTATTTCATGTAGAGTTACAAAAACACATTCTTTTTTCCCCCTAAGTATAAAAGTACCTATACATGTAGCGTCACTGATGAGTCAGTCAGCTTGATGGACAATAGATATGGAATATGCTGGGGAGAGTTGGTATGGTGATAACATAGAATTAAGGAGTTCTGGTGTCTAGTTTTAAGAAGCTGTGCTGCAATCCCAAAAGCATGCGGTTCAAATATGCCAGCTGCTCTACATAAGAAGGGTAGCCATTCTCCTGTGTGATTAGCTGCCTCTGAAAACCTGCTGAAGGGTCAGGTATGGATCAGTCTGACTCAACGGTACATCAACATACAATTACAGTAGGAAGGGACACATTTTGGCTTTTAAAAAGACTTTACAAGAAGTATTAATTCTTTAATCTGATAGACTGGATTGATAACTTTCCTCTTGTTTGCTCTCATTCTCATTATTTAAATACCAATAGAGTCTGTTTTTGCCATCTAGAAGATAATAACTATTTTAAGAGCAGTTACAGAAAGGAAAAAAGGAAAAGCCATATTTTTGATGATGTAAAATTTTCCCATTGCCATTTTTAGTCATGTTGAGTAAACAAAATTTTCAGTACTTTCTTTTGAAACAGGAAAGCTTTGTGTTATTTCCATTTCTTGCACATTTTTGGCATCTTGCATGAATCTCCTTTCTACTTCCCTTCCCCTTCCCTTTCAAAAAAAAACATTTTCTTTTTTCTTTTTAGTATTAGTTTGGTTTTTGGGTTTTGTTTTGGTTTTTTTTTATTTATTTTTTCCCATCCCACAGATCAGGCTGCAGCTGTGGGATACTGCGGGTCAGGAACGTTTCCGTAGCCTCATTCCCAGTTACATCCGTGATTCTGCTGCAGCCGTAGTAGTTTACGATATCACAAGTAGGTATTTTGCAACAGGTTGACCTCTCTTATTTTTCTTGCTTGTTTGACTGATTTTGTTGTTAGGTACGATTGCAATTATGGGACACAGCAGGTCAAGAGCGGTTCAGGAGCTTGATTCCTAGCTACATTCGTGACTCCACTGTGGCAGTTGTTGTTTATGATATCACAAGTGAGTGGGGGGAATTACTCATTTTTAATCTTCTTTTAAACTTTAGCTTAGCTGCATGCATGTTCTTGTCTTGTGCTTGTTTTCTATCCTGGCATGTTAAAATGAGTTTTATCATAGCAAACCTTATCACAGACCTAACTAGGTCAGAAATAGTTACTCCCTAAGACTTTTCTTAGCATTCTGCTATTACTCACCCATACCATGATTATAGTAGAAGGACTGTGTCCTTTTTCGTTTAACTTGATCTCAGATTTTTGTAAAATAAAACAGTCTGCATTTAAATCTCTTGTCAAGTTTACCAGATCTTCCAAGGCCTTTGCTGAGATTCTTCAAAGATTCTGCTAACTTTTTCTGTTTCCCTGTTTCTGACATCCTCTCTCTATAGAGAGGAAGACAGAGAATACATAATGTGCTTTTCTATTAATCATTTTCATTTGAATCATGTTTGGGTTCTGTGACTATTACTGATTTACAGTGTTGCTAAGAAAGTATGCTTTCATTTCTCACCTAGGAAAAAAATTTTAAAACATATAAGTAATGGCTTTGCTTTTTCTTTTACCCAAAGACTGAGTAATGCCTTTGGCATTTTAAGTGTTTGAATTTTCTGTGGAGAATTTGTGGCTGATAGAAAAAAATGTACTCTGATTGAAATTGTCTGTAAATTGACTTAAGAAAAGCTTTTAGTAATATTAGATGTTATCCCATAGTCTGTATTAAGTCGTCTAATTTATAGGAAAGGCAGGATAGTGTACCTTCCAGAGCTTTAAAAAGGAAAACATTTGATTTTGATTTTACTGTATGTATCTGTTCAATCAAAATTGATGCATATTTAACATTAATTGCCATGGCAGAATTAGAAGTTAAGAGGTTTGCCGTTCAGGGACTCTTGATTTTAAAACACTTTTGGATAGGTGCTAAGTCTTTTCTTGCAGCTTCACTTTGGGATGCTACTTGGTTTTTGGTGTGGTGTTTTGTTTTTGTTGTTTGGTTTTTTTTAAGTATTCATTATTGTGCGTTTACATGTTATGCAGCTTTAAAATGTTTGTGCTTACTTTAACCAAAGCAAAGCAAGTGAAACGTGGGGAATTTCTCTCTAAAAATTATACAAAAATGATAAAATACAATCAGTAGAATTTTTTTTAAGGCACCTGTAATGTGTTGCAATATTCTTAGACACCAACACTAGAAAAGAGGAGACTTGCTACAAGTGATTGTGAGATATTAAAGTAATGAATTTCAAGTTAAAGTGATCACAAACTAAGTAAATGTAAACAGAGTGGTGTTGAAAAGCTGTTTCAAGTCTTTATAAAATTTCTGAATGTATTGGGACTTACTGCCTGACATACTTTTGGAGATGCTTTCTTTGTCATGTTTGAAATATGTAAGTTATCATTGTGGCAATGTGATACCATATTATCTGCCATAGCTGTCCTTACATTTTAAAAGCATTTCCCCCCCCCCTTATATTTATTATATTGCACTCATTTGGTCATGTCCAAAACTTTTAAAATTATAGAATAAATCTTGAAAATTTGTGTATGTGTAATTTCTTTAGATCACTGACAGTTGTAATCAGATAAAATGGACTTATATTGCAGGCGCATTAAAAGTGGGATTCTAATGTGCCAGTTCTCTTTCCACTTTCAGAGATTCTTTTTTTGTGTGTAAGAGGGGGGAGTTCATCACTTTGAGGAGGCATTTGCAAGTACTTAATTTCTCTGTCCACCCTCCTATACCAGATGTTAACTCATTCCAGCAGACTACAAAATGGATTGATGATGTCAGAACAGAAAGAGGAAGTGATGTTATCATCATGCTAGTAGGAAATAAAACAGATCTTGCTGACAAGAGGTATGGAGTGATTTTGTGTATATGTATTGAATGTTTGATTTCTGTGTTAAACAGTTTTAATGAGGAAATCTGAAATAAAAATACTAAACTCAGCCCTTAAAAGTTTGCTTTTATGTGAATCCAAGGCAAGGCAGCTCAAGAAAGTGATGGATATTTTAAATATTTTTGGATTCATAAGCATGAGCAATATTTTTAATTAAAGAAGCAATCTTACAAATCATGTCTTTAAAAATTGTTTATGGAGGGAAGAGGTGGGGAAAGAGGAAAAAAGTTTTTATAATTAAATACACTCGCTTTCTGGTCACCTTTTCATAAGGATTCATTATAATTCAGTCGTGTAAAGTTTTAGTTTTGGGGGTTTTTAGTTGTATACTTGAGCCAAACTCTGTAGTTGAACTGAATAGCTTGATTGTGATACCATAGTCAAATGAGCAAAGCCATATTCAAGTCACAGGGTATAAAATGTATTAACATTCACTGTAGAATCCCATAGCTTGAATATCTGCTTTCAGTGTGCTTAAATGACATATTGGATATTAGCAGGGTTGGGTTTTGGGGGGGGGGGGCGGTTCTGCCTTAAATAGTGTTAGTCATTCTACATACTAGCAGGCACTTTTACTATTTTTTATTTATTTATTTATTCATGAGTTGGATATTGAAATTCAGGGAATGAACTTGTATTGTTAGTTAAAACGTTGCCAAGAAACCCAGTGTTTAAAGACTTATAAAGATATTTAGCCTAATCCTGTGTTACCTCAGTTAGAATTGGTGGTACAGTTACAAAAAGATCTTTATTAATTTAAGAGTAATTTGTGGCTTCAACCTTTCTTTATGAAAATTTATTAATTGTCCCTATTTTATTTGTTGCCATATGAAAATACAGGGATCATATTGATATATTCATTCTAGTAGATTCTCTTGATGCCTTCATTTTTAGGTAGAAAATTATAAATTTAAATTCTTTCCTTTGTATCTAGAGTTATCTAAGCAGTGGCTAGTAAGTAGCCCTTTATTGCTTAATATATAATAATTTCTCTTTAGGAAATTATTTATCCATTGCTTTGGAATTATAATCTTTCATGGTGATTTTTGCCAGACTGCCATTCCTTGGCTATTCACATTTTAGAATAATGGTCCCCTGTTCATTCCACTGCAATAATTTTCAAATGGATCAAACAAAAAAATGCTATATAATTAACTGAGAAAGCATTAAAGAAGATTTTGATGGTAGTTGGCTTCTTGTAAGCATGGTATGAAACCTTGAAGCTATAAATGGAAAGATTGGTAAGTTTAAATTCATAAATATAAAGATCATATTCACCAATTAGATTGACCAACATTTAAAAGATTGCTATTCACATTATCAAGAGTCTGAATATACAAACACTCTAAAATGTTATGTCATTAACACAGATTTACTGGGATTTGATAATACCAGAATTTTAAATACTCACTGCCCCTATGTTTCATTACTATGCAAAGGCATTTGACCGTGTGAATCACAACAGACTGGCTAACTCTGAGAAGATTGGGAATCCCAGAACACTTGATAGAGCTTATGTGAAACACAATATACTTGGACCAGGAAGCAGTCATCAGAACAGAGCAGGGAAACACTTGGGAAGGATGTATGCAGGGATGTGTCCTATCTCCATACCTTTTCAATCTATATACGGAATAGATTATCTGGGAGGCTGGGCTCTATGAGGAGAAATGTAGCATCAGGATTTGAGGAAGACTCATCAATCATCTGCGTTATTCAGATGATACAACCCCACTTGCTGAGACTGAGGAGAACATGAAGTACTTGCTGCAGAAGGTCAAGGACTGCAGCCTTTAATGTGAATTGAAGCACAACATCAAGAAAACAAAGTTTCTCACCACTGGGCTGATTGACAGCATCATAATAAATGATGAAGAGATTGAGATTATTAACAGCGTCAGTTTGGTTGGCTCCACAATCAACACTGTTGGTACCAGCAGCAAGGAAATTAAAAGATGAATTACATTGGGAAAGTCTGCTGTCAGAGACCTCTCCAAAGTACTAAAGAGCAATAATGTCAGTCTAGAGACTTAAAATGTACCTGATTAAGGCCATGGTGTTTGCAGTTACTTTGTATGTGTGGTGAAAGCTGGACAATGACTAGGAATGATAGAAGGAAAATTGATGCCTTTAAGCTGTGGTTCTGGAGAAGAGTATTAAATATACCATGGACTGCTAGGAGAACAAAAAGGTTCATCCTAGAGAGGGTGAAACCAAGCTGCTCCTTGGCAGCATGGATTCTGAAGCTTTGTCCGACTTACTTGGGACCTGTTGCAAGGAGGGACCAGTCCTCAGAGAGGGACTTCATGCTTGGGAGGATGGAGGGACAGCACAGGGGAGGAAGATCGTTGATGAGATGGGTTGATTCAATGACTGGGATATAATGGGGGTAGGTGTGTCGGAGACAGAAGATTAGCACAGGATAGAGCACGATATAGGGCTGTTGTGCATAGGGTTGCTATCAATTGCAAGCAGCTCCATGGCACATAACAACAACATTGTGCTACCAACACTGATCAACACTGATTTATCCCATAGTACCTGCAGAATTGTAAAAAGATCAATATAAGAGATTGTTCATTGCCTTATTATTTCAAATAATAAAAAAAACACAACTTCTCATCAGTAACAGAATTAAATACTTCTTATTCATTAAAACTACAGGAATATATTGATGTCTTAACAAATGAATATGTGTAAGTATATGAAGAAGAATGTGGCATGAGGATTGGAGAAGGATTCAGCAGCAGCTCACATTATACAGATGATACAGCCTTTATTGCTGAAAGTGTAGAAGATCTGAGGCACTTACTGTAGAATATCCAAGACTTTGTGAACCCTTCTATGAATTAATCCAACCTATTACTATGTAATTCTTCAATATAGATTCATTTCAACATAAAAAAAAAAACCAAAATTATCACTAAATGAATAGGCAGCATGAGGTTAGATAGAGAAAAGATTAAATTTTACATGGATCCACAATCAGCACCCTTGATAGCAGCAATCAAGAAATCAAAAGATGACTTGCATTGGGGAAATTTGCTGTCAAAGGCCTCTTTAAATTGCTAATAGAGCAATGATACCTGTTTAAAACTAAGGTGTGCCTTATCCAAACTATGATATTTCCAGTTGCTTTGTATGATTCTGAAAATTGGAAGATGAATATGGAAATCCAGAGAAGAATTGATGCCTTTGAATTGTAGTTTTAAAGACGAGGACTGAATATCCTGTGGACTGCCAAAAAGAACAAACAAATCTGTTTGTAAGGATGTGCAAACTGGGTGCTCCTTTGAAGCAAGAATAGTGACACTGCCTTACATACATTGAGCATATTATCAAAGGGACTAGTCCTTGGATAAAAGACTTCGTACTTGGAAGGGAAATGGGCTGGAGCATGGCAGATACCATGAGGATGGTGCGCGACAGGACAAAGTTCTGATCTTTGTTCATAGGGTTCACTCGATGGCACCTAATAACAGTAACATGTGAAACTAAAAAGGATTTGATCAGTATGTATAGTATAATTTCCTTTTAAAGATGATATAAATTTATGATAAATCTAAATTAATGAATCTTAAGAATAAATGAAATTCCTATATGCAGGAGGCAATAAAATAGATGAATGAGACCTAAGAATCAAGTCCGTACACACATAAAAATCTTCTCCACTAGGGTGAAAAAGGAAAGCCACAGACTGGGACAAAAATATTTGGCAATAACATACTCATAAGGGACTTATATATAAAATGTAAGGAATACTTAACACCTCAGTAGGAAAAAGGTAAATAACCCACTAACAAAATGGGCACAGGATAGGAATAGACATATCACCAAAGAAGACATTCAGATGGCAAACAAACACATGAAGAAATGTTCAAAATCCCTAGCTATCAGAGAGATGCAAATCTAAACAGCTATGAGGTATCATGTCACCCCAGCAAAAATAGGAAAGTTCAGCAGGCTAAGAAATAACAGATGCTGGCAAGGTTTTGCAAAGATTTGAACTCTTATTCACTGCCAGTGAAAATGTAAAATGGCATAGTGACTATGGAGATGATAGGGCACTTTCTCAAAAAGTTGGAAATAGAAATACCATTCGACCCAGAAATTCCACTACTGGGAATATACCCTAAGGAAGCCACAGCCACGACTCAAAACAGACGTATGCATATCTGTGTTTATTGCTGTATTATTCAGAGTAGCTAATAAATGGAAGCAATCCAAGTGCCCATCAACAAAAGAATGGATAGAAAAACTGTGGTACATTCACACAATGTAGTAGTATTACGCAGCATTGAAAAACAATTAATTCACAACATGGGAAAACCTGGAGGTCATTATGCTGAGTCAAATATCTTAGTCATCAAAGGACAAACTGCACAACATCACTGTTTTAAAATAGAACAGATATGGAGGGATTTGGGAGAGAATGGTAAGAGTGGCTAGATAATAAAAACTACATTAAATCAGATGAGAGGAAAACTGTTTAAAAGGAATATGTGATTAGGCATTATATGTGTGGCAGCAATCTGGAACAAGGGGTGTATTGTGGGGCAAGGAGAGGGAAAGAATGTAACAATGGGAGAAATATTTAAACATTTTTGATCTTTTAAAAAAATTTACTGTGTCTTTGGAAGAGGGCTAGAATTAAGAACTTTTACTGCTTGTTTAATTGTTTTGTTGAACCTTTTAAAATGTTTATTACTTTTAAAGCAGGGAGGAGAAACAATTAAAAAGAAAAAGTAAAAATTACAGGTCTTTATTAAGCACTTGAAAGTGTATTTTAGATCAAAGGATATCCACTTCATTGCCTCAACATAAGTTGCTTGGTACTTAGTGTTCCTTCCCCTGCAGTCTAGTGATTTCCAAACATTTCATTTCTAGGGATCATGTGGTAAATATAACTTATTAGGCTGTAAGGAATCAAAGTTAACCTAAAATTTTTAATATTTAG